GGCTTGTCCCTATTTTTTAAAAAGATATTGGCCAGGCTCGGTGGCTCAGCCTGTCATCCCAGCACTTTGGGAGGCTGAGGCAAATGAATTGCCCGAGTCCACAGGTTCGAGAACAGCCCGGGCAACTTGGCGAAACCTTGGCTCTACAATAAATAAAAAAAAATTAGCTGGGCGTGGTAGCATGTACCTGTAGTTCCAGCTCCTTGGATGGCTGAGGTGGAAGGATCACTGGAGCTCAGCAAGTCGACGCTGGGGTGGCTGTGAGCGTGCCACTGTACTCCAGCCTGGGTGACAGAGTGAAACTCCAACTCCCCCCCCCAAAAAGATATCATGGTCTCATCTGGTGTTGCACACATAGCCTCACATAACAAAGGTCTGAATGAATGGGGGCATAGGAACTCAGGAGAAAAACAAACGGCGGGACAGGAGAGTCTCTGCTTCAACCTCCTCACCCTTGTAACTGCTATTGATCTGGGAGTTTTCTGCCTGCCATTGTCCCTTCCTATTTCCTGTGGGTTGAACGTGTGCCCAACAAAGACATGTTGAAGCCTTAATCCCCAGCACCTATGAATGTGACTGTCTTTGGAAACAGGATCTTTGCAGATGTCATGAAGACGTCAGTTAAGATGAGGCCATCTGGAGTTGGGTGAGCCCGTAACCCGATAAGACTGGCATCCCATAAGAAGAGTAGAGAACTCCACGTGAGACACAGACACAGAGGGAAGATAAGATGAAGACACAGAGAACACCATGTGAGTATGGAGAAAGAGATGGGAGAATGAATCTGCAAGCCAAGGAACACCAGGGATTGCCAGCAACACAGAAGGAGCATGGCCCTGTCGACACCGTGATTCCAGACCTCGGGCCCCCAGAACTGTGAGAGAACAAATTTCTGTTGTCTCCAGCCACCCCATTTGTGGCACTTTGCTGTGGCTGCCCTAGGAAACGAATACGTTCTTCCTAGCAGAGAGGAGTTACAGCATGGCTGGGTGGTAAATGTTGATCTGAGCAGTTCTAACTTTTAAAAAATTGTTTTGAGTTGGGGTCTCACTCTGTTGCCTAGGCTAGAATGCAGCTCCATGATCGTGATCACAGTTCACCACAGTCTCGACCTTCCGGGCTCAGGGGATCCTTCCACATCGGCTTCTTGAGTAGTTGGGACTACAGGCATGTGTCCCCATGCTCGGCTAATTTTATTTTTTGGTAGAGATGAGGTTTCTCTATATTGCCTGGGTCGGTCTGGAGCTCCTGGGCCCAAGCGCTCCTCCCGCCTCAGCCTCCCAAAGTACTGGGGTTGCAAGCATGAGCCACCACGACGAGTCTGAACAACTCTTAAATCCCTGGAATTCTAACCTTATGAAATGACAACAAGCTGCCTCGAAACCAGAGGGGTGAGGGGATTGAAGTCATTTGTGTTCAGACCACGTTGAGCAACAGGAAAAAAAAAATGGAAACATTTCAGATCTCTACAACGCTGGCCCCACCGGGGTGGGAAGGGAATGAGGATTTTCCTCTCTTGAGAGCTGGGAGCACCTTCTGAGACCCGGTACGGCCTGGTGGTCCGTCTGCTTCTGTCCTCCTGAAGAGGACATTCACTGGACCCTCCAACGCCTGGCTTGTTTTTTTCTCTCCCCCCCCCCTGGCTTTTTGGCAGCGGCCGGAACTCCACCCCGCCGCCTGCCTTCCTCTCTCCGGCCAAGGGTACACGAAACTCAAGTTATCGGGCGTCGAAGCATCCGTGCTCAATGAACACGCGTCCTGCTTAAATCCGCGCTTATTTGGATTTAGGAAATGCTCCATCATCCTGTTGACTCGGTGCCTAAAACAAGAGGCGGATGCCGGGCCGCTGACGCAAAAGGGACGCCCCGGGCGGCCTCGTGCATGTACTTAAGGACGGTCCCACTAGATGGCGCTCCACCTAAGGTTGGGCCGAGGGTCTCTGCACTTTTCCGCCTCTGTCCATCACAGGAGCAAAATCTTCCAGGAGCCAGGAGCTTCAGGAAGGCACGTTTAGAGGACCACGTCGCCCTTGAGGTCTGACTCGATATCAGGTTAGACAGAACCTCCCACCGTTCCCCTCATGAACAGGATGGTGCAAGATCAAGTTCCTTTTACCTCCCTCCCTCAAGGTAAAAAATGAGCTGGCAATGAACACAAGACCAAACCAAGAAATCAAAGGACAACATGACAAGCCTCGTTTTTTGAGGCTTTCAGAGTGGCGGAGCTTAATATAGGAGGTAGCCGTCAGTCAGGGTGAGCATGGTACCCATGCTGGTAGTCGGATGGGCAGAGAAGGCAGTCAGCACCTCACACGAGGGTGCCATCTGGCCCTGGCTGGACTGAGGGAATAGTCTGTGCCGGTGAACACCCTCCTGGAACAGATAGAGAGCGCCCAACTGGGAAAGAGAGAATGATTTTGATGCCATGACAAGGTAGAGTGCGTCTCCAGTTGGACCTGAAATACTCAAGACAGAGGAATGGACCTGAGCCGACCTGTCCCATCAAAATCACCGTGTTTAGGCGGGGCACAGCGGCTCACGCCTGTAATCCCAACATTTTGGGAGGCCAAGGCAGGAGAATTGCTTGAGCCCAGGAGTTTGAAACCACCCTGAACAAAATAGCGAGACCTAGTCTCTACAAAAAAAAAAAAAAGAAAAAAATTAGCCCAGCATGGTGGTGCACATCTGTAATCCCAGCTTCTTCAGAGACTGAGGCAGGAGGATCACTTGAGCCCAGGAAGTCCAGGCTGCAGTGAGCCAGGACAGTGCCACTGCACTCCAGTCTGGGTGACAGTGAGATCCTAACTGAAAGAAAGAAAGAAAGAAAGAAAGAAAGAAAGAAAGAAAGAAAGAAAGAAAGAAAGAAAGAAAAGAAGGAAGGAAGGAAATCACTGTGTTTATACATGTGTATACAGACATAGGTGACTCAATAGTAATGAAACTCTGAGAAGCGTTCTCAGACTGCTCTTGTTAGACTCCTTAAAACAGACTTCCCATTTGTATTGACTACAGAGGAGTTTGATTTTTGTAAGTGATGAAGTTTTTGTTAAACATCAGCTTCATGACATCCTCCTGATTCTGAGTTTCCTCAACTGTAAAGAAAAAACAATTATTATTATTATTTCCTTGTGGTGCTATGATGAGGCTTGAAAATAAAATAGGAAACTTCCTAGCAAAGGGTGTGGCACGTCGTAGGTCTTCAAGTCAATAACTCTGTTTCTCTCTCTTCTTGCTGCTATTCTAGGAGGTTTGGAGAACTTCCTCCAAGATATTGCCATATTATTATTATTATTAGTCACAAATCACCAAGGCAAAGTTGCTAAATACCCTGGTACAGACTTGCATCATGGGCACAGCTAGAGCGCGTGTTCTCATCTCCACTTTTACTGTCTTCCAAGTTGATTCTCGATTTAGGTCCTTACTGTCAGCCGATTTGCCTGCTGAGTGGTTCTGGCAAAGGACCCAAATAGACAAAGCCAGGTGTGCTGACACCCCCAAATTAACCTGGGCCCTTCAGTCTCAAAGCGGGGACTGCCTTTTCTGAGTCATCCAAGTGGCATTATGAAATAGATGAGTCCCATATGGGGTCCCTTCCCCGTCCTTTTCTGTATCCGTCTTTCCTCTCTCATCAAAGAGAGTTGCAGGCTTTCATTTTTATTTCCTTATTCCTCTATCAAAGCTTGATCTCAGGGGAAAAAACGAATTGTCAGTAACTTTAAGGTAAAGGACATTTGTGCATCACTCTCTCTATGTGCAAGATTCTTCCTCACTGATCCATTACCAGGAAGATGATGGAGGTGTTTTAAAAGAGAGTGATCTTCTGGTTCCCCTAAAATCACCCCCAAAGGACAACTCTGCCCTTCTCTCCACCCTATCAGCTGAAAAGATTGATGTCCAGAAGCATGGATCACATTCAGGAAATGCCCCCACCCCTTGAGCACTAACATCTGAGAAGGCCTTGAAAGTGATTCAGTCAATTCAAATATACCACTGCGGTGGGAAGAAGGTAAGATGGTCCCCAACTTACAATGGTGTGGTATGATTTTTCAGCTTTATGATGGGTTTATCAGGATTTTTTCCTTTTCTTTAAGAGACAAGTTCTCCCTCTGTTGCTCAGGTTGGAGGGCCGTGACAGGATCACAGTGCAAACAGCCTTGAACTACTGAGCTTAAGTGATCCTCCTATCTCAGCTTTCCAAGTAGCTGGTACTACAGACACATGCCAGTAAGGCCAGCTAGTTTTTTTGCTGTTGTTGTTTATTTGTTTGTTTTTGAGTCAGAGTCTCACTCTGTTGCCCAGGCTGGAGTCCAGTGGCATGATCACAATGATCATGACTCATAACAGCCTCAGTCTCCCGGGCTCAGGAGATCCTTCCGCCACAGCATCTCGAGTAGCTGGGACTACAGCCTCATACTACCACGCCCGGCTAATTTTTTTGAATTTTTGTAGAGACAAGGTTTTGCTATGTTGCCCAGGCTGGTCTAGAACTTCTGGGCTCAAAGAATTTGCTTGCCTCGGCCTCCCAAAGTGCTGGGATTATAAGCATAAGCCATTGCACCCGGCCCCTGGCTACTTGAAAAAAAAATCTGTGTGTTTGTGTAGAGACAGGGTCTTACTATGTTGCCCAGGCTGGTCTTGAACTCCTGGCCTCAAGCAATCCTTATACCTCTACCTTCCAAAGTGTTGGAATTGCAGACGTGAGCCACCATGCCCAGCTATGGGGGTATTAAATGTATTTTCAACTTAGGATATTTTTGACTGATGATGGATTTATCAGGACGTAACCCCACAGTAAATCGAGGAGTCTCTGTAATCAGTGAGGCTCCCATGATTCCTCCTCCAAGAGCAATATGTGGGAAGAAAGTGTTGATGACCACTGTAACCAATTTGTACCTCTTAAAGCCCAGAGACATTCTGGTTGGTCTTGTAACCGTCATGGTTATGGGGTTCATTCCAAAGAGTGACTCTTCCAGAATTATGGAGTTATAATGGCAGAGTAGAAGTTTGGATGCAAGTTCACATACAGAGTGACCGAGAGGGAGAGACATGCAGTTGGAGAGTCATGAAACCTAAAATCCTTGATTAGACACCTCTCAAGTGCCACTTTCTCTAGGTTACACATGTGTCTAAAACCCTGGTTATGAGTTTTACCCCAGTGGCAGAGACTGTCACTTCACACATGCACAATGACTATTTTGTCTTATTTCTCATGTCTCTCAAGCCCTCGGGCATCCTTGTTACTGCTGAGATGCCAGGGAATGTGCTTGCCACCCACATATATGCAAAACAGTACCAGAGAGTTGACACCCATGAGACAAGCATTTGACCCATGGGCAACAAAATCCAGCAGATAAATATTTTCCCTTCTTCCATCCCCCTGGAGGGACTATCCTATGACACAGCCCCTCATAGTTTTTCTGAAGAGAGTACGCTATGACTGAGCAATCAATGGTCATTGGTACAAAGTGGTGCCCATCTTAGCAACATGTTCTCTTGAATCTTTCCTTTTCCCCTTTCTTACTATCTTTCCCTCACTCTGTCTCTGCTTTGTCTGCTCTTGCTATGGTCTGAATGTGTGTGTTCCCCTCAAAATTCATATTCACACCAAAGGCGGTGGTATTAAGAGATGCGGCATTTTGCAAGGTGATTAATATCCTTATAAAATCAGTACAAGGAAGCTTGTTCCTCTCTTTTATCGTGTGAGGACCCAGACAGAAGACTGTGGACCACAAAGTGGGCCGTCACCAAGTCTGCCAGCACCCTGATCTTGGACTTCCCCTCCCCCAGAACTGTGAGAGATAAATTTTTGTTGTTTATAAGATACTCAGTTTATGGTAGATTAAAAATGCTCTCTCAGGCAGATGGGACTGCTCTAACCCAACCCATCTATTCAGTCTATCAATAATCCGTCTCAGTTCCTGATTAGATCAAAGTGATCTGCCTGTACTCTAGCTTCCTGCCAGAAGAAAACTCAATATACTTTGGAAGATGATAAAACATTCTAAACCTCACTGATTTATATGCTCTGTGTAGATAGTTTTTAATCCAAAATTATCAGCTCTGCCAGATCCAAATGACCAAAAGCCACGAGCAAAAGCAGACAAAAGAACAGACTTACAACTGATCCAAATACTGAAGTTACCAGACATGGATTTTAAAATAATTATGATTAATATGTTCAAAAAATATATTTGAATATAAAAATTTTCACCAAAGAAGTGGAATCTATGTTATTAAAAAGCAGCAAGTTTCCTAAAAGATCTAAAAATAGACCTCCCATATGACCCCACAATCCCCCTACTCAGAATATATCTGGAAGAACTCAAATCACTCTATAAAAAAGATACCTGCACACACATGTTTATTGCAGCATTATTCACAATAGCAAAACCATGGAGCCAACCATGCTGCCCATCAAAAGAGGACTGGATTAAAATATGTGCTATATAAACATGATGGAATATTATGCAGCCATAAAGAAGGACAAAATTATGAACTTCGCAGCAACTTGGATGGACTTAGAGGCCATAATACTGAGTGATCTATCACTGAAACAAAGAACTGAGTGTCACATCTTCTAACTCATAAGCAGACCTTGAACAATTATCATAATCCTGTAAGAAAAGGATTGGCAGTAGTGGGAATCTGCCGGGGGAAGGGGAGCACACCTCATCAACAAGGGTACCTGCATAATGCACATTTGTATACCTAACCCTGAATTGTACCCCACATCTTTAAAATAAAACATTTTTTAAAAAGTAACAATAAGAAAATATATATTAAAACAGAGTAAGACTCCAACTCAAAAAAAAAGCAGCAAATGAAATCATAGAAACAAAAAATGATACAACTAAAATAAAAAATGTAATGAAAGGTGATTATAGAACAGTTG